TTTATTTCTTAAACTTTATTTCGTATCATGAGTCAAGGGGAAGTTATTTTAGAATCACCACCTCTCAGGAATACTAATACGATAATTATTATATCAATGAAAAAATAAACGATTACAGATTACTCTGAGAAGATCAAATAATTGAGCGTGAAACTGTTATAATAGATATTGGCAGGGCTGGGCATTTGAAATACTTTTATTTTAAATACAGTATTTGTAATACAATTGTATTTCGTATTTTAGAAGAGGACATAAAAGTATTTTATATTTTGTAATTCAAATAATAAGAGATTTATTGTCAATCTTAATATTTGAAATACAAAATACAAAATATTTTTAATCTTTCGATTTGCAATACAAAATATAATTACTTTTATCTCCACTGACATACGAAATACAAAACATAATTGTGTTACATATACCTACTGTTTTCAAATAAAAGTATTCCAAATACATCCCCAGTCCTGAATATTGGTCCAATTCTTTGTTCTTATGTAAGCCTAATTCTTATGTAAGAGTACCATTCAAACATCGAAAATAGCAGTAACTACGAGTAACACAAATCTGACATGGCAAAAAGCTTTATTTAGGTTTCTCTTATCAAAATATGGGTGTATCGATTTCAAACTTAACAAAGAAAAAGCGTATGGACAAACACGTTGTTGATTTCGAAATCATGGTTATAATATTAAATAAAAATATCTAAACGTTTCCGCTTTAATTTCCCATTTCTGGATAATGATCATAATTGATAATGATTATTTAATTTGCTGTTCATATATATTGATTTATCAATTTGCCTTGGAAAGGAGCATTCCTTCAAACAAATTTCGGTAAATAATCTCGTCTCTTTTTTTGACATACTAAAGAATTCTTTCGTTTGCTTTCATTATCTGTTGAAAAGTAATGTGTATTTTCCAAAGAAAGGCAAAGTTTATATCTTCCACATATACGCCTTCGTTTTCTTTTCTTTCGCGCCGGTCGAGGATGGAGATCACACATTTATTTTCCACGAAGATATAAATAAAGAAGATACATTTGATTGGCTTCGAAAACTTATATTTGAGTATGTGGTTATCTTTATAATGGAATCCTCGATGTTATTAAATAGTTTATTTGAAATAAAGCATGAGGAAACAAAATGTGGGGAAACTCACTATTTCTCATAAATCGTGGAGAAATATTGATGTTTATTTTGAACCCTCGAGATATTTTTAATTATATTAAGAAATATAAATAAAAATTTGTTACAAATATATATGTATATAAAATTATATATGTCTTAAAAAATATACCCGAATTTGAAATTAATAATTAAATTTTTATTTAATTAAAGTAAAATTAATTTAATTCTAATAATAATAAAATTAATTTTAAATTTAATTTATGCTTATTTTTAGATATTTATAATTTAATCCTAATAATACATGTATATAATAAAAAATTAAGATATTGATTGTGTATGAAATCGTTCTTCTGATGAAAATGCAAAAACGGTCGCTTGTAAATTTATCGGTGATAATCGGACAACTCTGTTTGCACGTGGCGCGTTTACTGACATTTATATAATAGAGATCACGTGTACATCTGTACATTTGAAGCCGCAAGCTTTGCGATTCACCGCACGCGTGTATAATAAAAAAAAAAAAGGTTTATTAATCAAACAGAGCTTTTATTAATAATCGAGTTTTTATAAATTACAATTATTGCTAATCACTTTTTCGCAATAATTTTCTATTATAGATAAGTTGTACAAGTTGTACATGTAATAATGCATGTAATGTTTGTGTAACATTTACGATACATAACAATAACAAAAATATTTAAATGTAAATACGTTTTTATTAAATTGGCACAAAAGCAATAAAAGATATTTAATAACGGATGTCACATTGACACATTTTCACTTTATATAGTATCCTCATTAAAACGTGCGAATCTGAACGATATGTCGACCAGATTCTCGCGAATCTAAAAACGAAAAATTGTGCCGATATAATTCACCTGAATTTACGATCGCAGTGGGATCGCTTATCTTGTTCTCGATGGTTAGATGTCTCGGCCGAAGCAATAATCGAAATAAAAAATATCGACCTTCATACCGTTGAACGTGTGAGCGATCTCGTTTGTCGATAGTGCGCGTGGTAATAAAATCGGCTTCCTGTTTACAAAAAAAAAAAAGAAAAAATACACATCCCTTCGTATTTTCGTATCATCGAACTTTTTCCACCATTGCGACGAACTGTGATGAACGATGTTTCGAATTAACGCATCGATGATTCATTTGTGTTTTCGGTCCCACGAACAGGCATGCGTATTTACGGTCGCAATACTCCACAAATTGTAAAGGAGTTAGTTATCGCGAATTTTTTCAAAAATTACGAAACATCCCTCGAAAGCTATTAAAAGATAGAAGCTTTTTCATGAAGATTTTAAAGTTCAAAAATGTCACGTAAAATGTTATAAATTTTTCCAGAGCGAAAGCATCTTTAACGTTTACGTATTTACGCTTGCGATCGCTCACACTTATTTTTATAGATCCCAGTCATTTCCCGTAAAGCCTTTCTTAAAGTCTTTTTAAAAACTTCCAGTCTGGCAGACGTTCTTAACAATTCTTAACATTCTACTTTTGTTTTTTTTTAGCGCAATTTAAAATAAAATAAAATTTGTTAATTAGAACGGTCTTAACGATTATTATTTTAATTATTTATTTCTGAGTTGTTATTAATAATTTTTTCTTGCAATTAAACTATAGCAACTGTTTTATAAGGAAAAACCGGATGGGGATTTTTTTAAATAGTGTGAGTTCTCTTAAATTATTTTATTATAAAAATAATTTCACCAATTAACAAGAATTTTTAAAATGATTACATTAGAGTTACTTTTACATGTATATCTGCTGAATCTCGAAAGTACGCAAATATTTTCTTAACTTTTTCTTAACTTTTTGAGCTTTTCCATTGCTGCGCAGAAGTTTGTGTTAGATCTCGAAATATTATTTCGTCCTACATAACTCATTCGCTTTTTCGACAGACATCAGATCTTTCAGCTTTTAACATCCGCTTTGCCGAGGACGGGCGAGCAAAGAGTAAAAAGCGTCTCTTTTTATGTTCATTTTTGTCATTCCCTTTCCAAATTCAGTTTCAATAAAATATAAAATATTCGCACAGCGAAAGCATCTTTAACGTTTACGTATTTACGCTTGCGATCGCTCACACTTATTTTTATAGATCCCAGTCATTTCCCGTAAAGCCTTTCTTAAAGTCTTTTTAAAAACTTTCTTCAAGGATATACCTGCAAAATTGCAGTCATTCTTTCAAGATTAAGGTTTAGATTTCTTCGTCTTTGCTTTTCAGATGCACACGTAGAAGTAATATTACGTGAAGTATAATATTATAATATATGTAATATTACAAGATAAAAAAAGAAAGAAAGAGAAAACAATATCTTCTCCCAACATGATATTTTTATGCTCCCATTGTGTTCGATTGACTAAATATCGACTAATTACTACGAATTGCAAAGCTGTAATAACTATTCATTATTATAGCATTAATTATAAAAAGCTCTATTAATCTCGCTCGCATTCACAAAAGCTTTTAAGGTCAATTAAATTCTATAAAATCTTCACAATTGATTTTTCTGAATTTTTTCATAGAAATTCTTCTAAGAATTTTAAATAGATAATACTATATCCCTGTAATATGAAAGATAATGATTATGCAACAAAATTTATTCATGAATATTACATAAGTTGGACGACAACGTGAAAGTGTCCAAAATATCTCGTAATATGCTGTTCACTATTTAAGAAATGAAACACGTGAAGGATTCAATTGCATTTTGTCTTATAATTGTGCGCATAATTCAATTTATTCAACAAATTTTACATGAAAGTATGTTTTAAAAGTTTGAAAGAAACTCGCTACATCAAAAAGCACAGTAAAAGCAGAAATTATTCATGAACTAAATTTGACTATTATTTTAATGCAACATGTGGTAATTGCGTATAACTGCAATCTCACTTGACGTAAGCTTAGGAATATTTAAAAGAAGAGTATCTTTTAATTGAAACTTATCTTTTATCATTAACTGAAGGATATAAAAACGGAGTATAAAAATCATACAAAAATATATTTGATGTTACGAGAGAATTCTACTTGAGTATTCGGAAATTAAAATTATTTGAAATTATAAAAAAACTTACTTAGAGATTCGTCTTGGCAAAATTAAACTGTTTGTCGTGTTATCGCCCACGAATGTCGCATTTCCGAAATTTCATCGGTCACTTCATTTAATGAAATCCCTTTTTTTCATTTATACTTGACATGTATTAGGCAAAAATTTCTTTACTAGACTTTAATTTTCTGAAACTTGAAGGATTTTGTAATATTTCATTATTTTTTAATTTTTAACTTAATATTTTTACGCACTACAATGATATTCTAGAAAAAAGCTAAAATCAAATTAGAATCGATGTTTCGATTTTTTCAATTTCTAAAGTTAATTGTCTTATTTCTTGGAAACTATTATCAAATGCTCCAGCAGTGTGGATAGTGCAATGTAATAAAAGTTAATTTTCTTGGTAAGTTTCATTACCAAGTAATGAAATCGCGAAAGGTGACTTGAAGTAGAACTAAATGAAGGCAAATGCTCTCTGCGATGTTACTTGTCTATATATTTTCCTTGATACATTACGGCAATCATGAGTTAAAGTGGATTTATTCGCATCTCATTCTGGAAAATAGCTAATTCCTTATTAACTCTATAAGAAATCACTTACAATTTTGAAATTAATAATAATGACGCGCATATATTTTATAACCTGAAACGGAAAAAATATTTTTAAGATATTCTTAATTAAAATATATGCTAATTTTATTTTATAAAAATTATTTCACTTTGTACTTTATCTCGCATGTGAAAAATCAGTAAAATCGTTTTACTCTCTACTTCTCACTGGTATTTAACTCAACAGGACGTCATTATTGTCTTTACAGTTGCGGTGGTGGTGGCCTTTTTCATCTGCTGGGCGCCGTTTCACGCTCAAAGGCTGCTGGCTGTGTACGCTCAAAGTAGCTCGTCCGAACCGGAAGATACCATGATCATAGTCTACACCACGCTCACGTACGTGTCGGGAGTGTTCTACTATTTATCTACCACAGTGAATCCTCTCCTATACAATATCATGTCTAACAAGTTCAGAGAGGCTTTCAAGGTGAGTCTGAGAACTTTAATCATTTTTTATAGCTTAATTATTTCACACTGACAATTTTCACATGAATTGCTTTATAATTAAATATTTTATTATATACTTGCAAGAAATAAAAGAATAAATTTTATACAGCATTTAAAAAATATTTTGTCGTACATAGTTAATATATTTGATATTAAATGTAATTACTTTTTATTATGTTCTCAATATTTTTTTAGACTTCTTACATCTTTCATATTTCTATACTAAATATATTATATTATATACAGGTTCTGTTAACTACGAATTTTGTTTTCTCGGACATTATTGATAAGCATCAGTTAGAATCAGAATAAAATTACAAGAATATATATGAAAAATCTTTTACAATTTTACTTTTCATCTTTTCTTCCAGTCGATGCTGCCCAAATATTGCATCAAAAAGTTCTCGTCTCACAAGGTCATCCGTCGACAGCCGACTTATAGCAGTTTGTCGCGGTATCAGAAGTCAATAAGGCATCGATTCGACGATGCTCAACACTCGCCCTCGATATCCGTCAGCGACGAACAGCAACGACTAACGCATATCGCACTGGCGAACACGAATTTCTGCGAGCCAAATGGACTCGTGAAGTCGCAGAACGAGCGAAAGGAACAGTCTGCGATTAAAGAAACCGTAGGCTGCCGAGATTATACCAGAACAGTGTCCAGGGACTCCGACTGCAGTCAACTTACCACGATGACAACGTTAAGCAAGCAGGGTCTGAACAATGAGGGCAATAATAACACGAACGAGTGTCTATTGAGGATCCACAGATCGCCGAAAGCTGTCACTTTAGGTAACATTTGTTTACGCTCGTTGTCTCCGCTACATTAATAATCAATATTTAATCAACAATGACTAACAATTGTAAATCAATGTTTCTTAAATTTCGGAATTTTTTAAATTTATTGAATTAATTGGAGAATTCTTTTCGAAAAAGACATATCTACATGATGCGTTATACATATGTATAGTTACGCATATCTAAAATATTATCTTAAATATATAAATAATATTTAAAATACTTTTTTTTTATTTTATCTTATTTTCTTAAAATACGTATCTTAAAAAATATGATATAATATATACATATTAAAAGCTCCAAATAAGTATAAAAATATTACTTTTGAAGCGCATGCTTATCATTTTGAAATTAATAAGCAGACTCTTGTCAACACACACACACACACATTTTGCAATTAAAGTACATCTGTAAATATAAAATTATAAAAAACTACGAAAAATTTATACGTTATAAATTAAACAAAATATATTATGTTATAATGTAAAATATTTTGTTATAACTTATAATTTTTAAATACCTATATTATAATTTTTATACGCACACATATATTCTTTTATGATCACGTCATTCAGAAACAAATTTATTTCAAAATAAAAAATAAAAGATTATATTTATATGAAATATATATACGCAAAAAATAGAAACTGTTTTTACTTCAGTTTTTGCTAAAATTTCTTAACTCTTATTCGTAAATCCGATAGAACATGAAAAATGTTCCTATCACTTTGGTATTTCTAGCAGGAATCCTCACAGAGAGATTGGGTCTTGGTACAAAAGGATTTTTCGCGCAGCACCGGAAGAATTTGCCAGCCAGTCCGATGAAACCAAAATTGGAAAACATCATTGCGATGAGACCACGATTTCAGAGTCATCCGAGCACTGAGAGCGCCACGATTAGCAACTCTAGTCTTCAGGACTTCGACGAGACCGAGTTCACCGGAACGGAGTCGTCGCCTTACATGGGCGAGTTAAACTTCGAACTCGTCACTTGACGTCCATTTATCTCGGCAGAACGCCGTCTCTCGAATTAGACGCCGAGCTCAAAGCAAATAACGCTCTTTGGTTGTGGAAAATCGCAGATTTGTCTTCTAATCCAAGAGAAGGCCACAATCTAGGCAAGTCTCGTTGCAACACAGATTTAGCTGCGTTTTAAACGATGCACAGTTGTATTATCGAGATGAATCAGAGGAACTTACATCGAAGATAAGAGAGTATCACGAAGAATTATTGTAAAAGAAAAAAAAGGGATCCAATCATTGCGATCACATAAAAATATGTAAAATATGTGAAAATTAACGATATTAAAATCATCGCTTGTGATTTGTAGCTTCACGCAAAGAGCCGAGCCAGAAATTAGAACAGATACAGGATATAAAGCATGTGTGGATGTTTAATATCTAAAGTGCGTATGTATGTGAATATTATATTTCCCTGTCTATAGCACGGCTGTTAATAACGCTAGTCTTCTCTGCAAACGCGAGAGAGAATTTGCAGATGTAATTTCCTAAGAATAGATAGTGAAATATTATGATATTCTCGTTAATAAGATTCTTATTAATAAGAACGTTATTATATAATCAAAGAGAACGTTCTATCAAGACCAGCATGTCAATGCATAAGCTAGCTTCTTATTTCTTGTCTGTCGTCGATATTTATATATTTTATGATAAAGCGGATTGCACAACGGCTTTATCGTAAAAACTTGCCCGAGAAAAATATTATATATATGGACATGTTTTATATATAATTATATATAATTATATTTAAAATATGTAAATTTTTTATATAATTCTATATAATTTCATGTAATTATATATGAAACATTTTTTCCTGGGTGTACAACGTACAGCCTACGCAACTTATTTATCTCAAAATAAAAAAACTTGTGCAAAATCGGAGCCGCTGCAAGTAGATGTGCACTTCACAAAGGCGCATTAACAATTGTTAAATTCAATTTTAATTATCAATTTTCTATTTTTATAAAATTAAGTGCGTGTTTATAAAATTAATACACTCGCTTCTGTCAGATTTAATTTATTCTGAAATATATACTGTACATCAATATAGAGAAACTACCACAAAATCTGAATCATCTGATCAGATTGGATAGTTGTTTATTTCTCGATGGAACTAAAATCTTCCAATACATACAAAACCATACCAAGCTATTTCAACACCAGGATATCGATCATGTAATATTTTCTCTAGAGCGAAAACATGAAAAGTGAAAAATTGCTCCATTAACTTCAATGGTATACAAATTGTCACTCTTTTTCTAACATTTTCGCCCTAGGAAAAAGTTACAATATTCTACAACAAAAATAAAAAATTGCGCTCTTTTTAAACATATTTAAAAAATTAATTTGAAAAATAACTTATTTAAAAGCTTGGTAAATAAAAATATTAAGGACAGCAAAATTTTCTTTGCACACAGGCGCCTTCAGTGTTGACCTTGTACAAATTACTTCGACGTTATCAACGAAATGTTTGTAGCTGCAAAATTATAATTTTTTTAGCACTTTTTACAATAACTTTTTTCCAAGTTTACTTGTTTATCAAATACAGTAAAAGATATTGAAAAGTTAAAAATACAAAGAATTATTCAGAATGCAATATTTTTTCGAGGCATACCATTAATAGAATCGCATTAAGAAATATCTCTGTAACTACAAATATCCAAAAATATAGCTACGATATTTATTATTGATATTATCGACATAAATACTTATCGTACATATATGCGCAACTTTGAATTAATTTTAGCATTTATTTTTATACGTATATATATATATATGTATATAAATAATCAATGTTTCTCTTTATTTTAAAAAATAAACAATCCGTTTGTATACACGACAGCTGTACAATGTATATATTTACTAAATAAACATATAACAATCGTCCTTTTCAGAATAGCATTTTTAAAGTAGCAAATGTGCTCACATTATCAACCTTTATCATTTCAGAAATTTTACATCAAAAACCCTTAATAATTACAGAACCCTTAATAATTACAGATAACTTTAGATATTTTTCAGTCTAATTCATAAAAAATAATAAAACGGTATTCTAAAAAATAACAAATTATGGTCAATAAGCAGATAGTTTTATTGATGAAGAAAATATAATATTCTTATGTTTGTTACATATATAGAAACGTTAAATATATGTATAATATTAACTTACGAAGAAACCGCCAAGCTAACTTAATACATGCCAGATTTTCACAAAACATTTTGGTTTAAAAGATTTAATAAAGAATGACATTAATACAAAAATAAAAAAATATAAAATTATAAATTTTACGTACTATTGAATTTTGGATCGCTTCTCGATGTAAGCTTTAATCTTGGGTAAAGCGCGAATCTTCTCCACTAGCTTCTTCAATTCTGGATGATTCTGATTCATATTTCTGGTCAAGATAAAGCTTATACGTTTAGAATATGCAGCCCACATGAAATCCGGCCATGACAACTAAAATAACAAAAATATGTCTTTGGATTTTTGCAAAATTAACAAGACAATTAAGTATTATAATTCGACATGTAATCGAGCATCACTTTGCTATTGATGAAGTATCCGCCGTTATTCTTAACTTGAGCTTCGAATTTGTCGAGATAGAAAAGCAATTTCTGGAAGGCGATCTTCTTTAACTTTGCTTTGAAAGCGGGGTCTTGTTCCCAGTAGTATTCGCCCATAACTGCGAAAATAAATCCGGTTTAAAGCTCGTCACACAAAGATAAAGACTCATCTGCGCTATATAAGTACTGTGAGAAGAGTAATAGCGATATATAGAATACAACAATCGTTCAAGAAATGCACAAATCATTGACTTTAAATAATTTCCGTTCTTTTATGGCACAATATCTCGTAACAATAACATTGAATTCCTCAGTTTATATAAGTATAACGTGCACTGTATCATATTAATTAATCAAATCTCCCGTCAGTGTGGAGATATTAAAAAATTGTGTGCCTGTTTTCAATTAATTAATTACCAATCATTCTTCACAATTGATTATCGTCACATTTTTACTCGTCTTATATCTTCCATAGAATCGACCGTGGCATCAATCTCCATAGCCTCGAACTCGTCAGAGGTCCGTATAAATTATTCTTCTTAGCAATAAAGCGATAGCTCTGGATTGATGGTATATCTTATTGTCTATCTCCAGAATCGGCAGTTGTTCCTTGGGCATGTCTACAATTTGTAAACACAAAAATGATATGTTTGCTTTTAAGTTATTGCTGAACAGTATCCAAGAATATATTTAGAATAGAAATATAATAATTAAGTAAGAGTAATGAACTTGAAATAAGAAAATTACAAAATAAATTATAGCATAAATCAATATTTAAACAAGGAACAATTAAAGTTACAATTGCAATTATTCCATAATTTCTTCAAAAATATAGCATAAAAATAACATACTTGGTTTATGCTTCGGCCACTCTTCCATAATGAGTCTAATATCTTCGAATTCAATGCCGCAATAACTTAACAATCTGGATGGTTCTCCAACGGCTCCATCCTTGAAGTACGTTAACTTATACGTCGACATGGTCTGAAAATAGTATAGACATAAAAATAATTTAAAAAATAAAGATTGTTTCATAACAGAAAACTGAGACCATGATATAAAGCACTGTAAATCACTAAACACAGATGTCAGTATAATATTGACAAATCATTCACAGTAATCATATCAAATATCACATTAGTGTGTGTGTGTGTGTGTGTGTAACTTCGATTATAATACTTTAATTCTCTTTAATTAATTATTGATTAACTGTGGATATTAATTTATAAAAATATAATTAAAAATATGAATTTATTTGCATATACAGTAAACTACAAGCGACATATATAGTAAAATACAGTAAAATACAGTAAATTTTCAGCATTTTATATTTATGTATTATCTTCCCAGGAAAAAATGAAAAGATTACATTTTATATATGTGTAGATCAAATTAGATCAAATAAGATCAAATTGTATCTGATGAGATTTAGTTTTTAGATATAATCAGATCTTCAGAAATCTAGCTTGGCCTCACATGATTGATGTTATATCCATTAAGATCTAAATAGATAATCTGCGATGTAAATAAAATGCTTTATTGAATATAAAGGAAGCATATTGTAGATCTATGAGAATATATTGATATATATGAATATTTAACTTTATACAATGAAACTAAATGTAATAAATATTAGACCTACAGAGATATAATAATATCAAAATAGATCTACAATCTTGGCCAAAGGTATAAGACAATAAGGAACAATTGCAATTTTGTCGCATTTTTAAAGTTAAGTATCTTGACGAAAAAAAATTTCAGAGGCTTTCAACCACGCATTTTAAAGCTTAAAAATATATTATGTCTAATGAGATAAATGTTTATATATTAGGATATAAATAGATCAAAGTATATCTATATCGATCTACTTTGATCAAGTCAAAATGAAGATCTCTTAAAATCTCTTTTTAAATCTAATGAGATCTACATATATAATAGTGAAATCTTCTTCATTTTTTCCCTGGTTTACACGTATTATTTTTTATCTGATAACATTTCATATTTATTTTATTATAATAATATTTTAATAAATTTCAATTTATGCACTGAACCAAAACTGTACGTAAATACAATGAAATATTCATTGAATTATGAAAAAATAACGAAAATTGGTCCAATGAATTCTCATTATGATTTAGGTTATAAAACTATTACTAGAATTCATTGCAAAGATGAATATATAATTATATAAATGAATTCAGTTATCGTATCAATGAATTAACTATATTAAATCGGACATTAATTAACGATCAATCATTGGACCAAAAATGACTAAAATTTTTTTCAATGTAAGCGTATCAATTTAAAAAAATTAGTATTACCAGAAAATCGTAATTTTACTATTACTTTGCAATCTGCAAGTTAATCCCTCACAAAGGATAAATCTCTCGATGTAACACTGAATGTTGAGTTCGCTGAAATATAACTACACTTATTACACTGTGTAATTGTGATATAAAGTGATACTTCTTATCTACTTAGGAACGTATACCCTTTTATCAAAAAAAAATATTTTACATAATATTTCATTATCTGTTCAAAATTTATGTTAAAAAATTATCTACAGTTACAAATGAAATGATGTGCAATCAACAAAAAGGAGTTTTATTTAAAAAATTAAAAAATATATATACATTCCTTTTCCGTTTGCAAATTTTGTAAATTGCGTTCAGTTATTCATATACAATATAACTTTATGTGTGACACAAATCAACTATGATATATTGTCAGTAGACAGTAATTATGCTATCTAATCTGTCATTGCATTGATAAACTAATTTTTTATCGCATGTTTTTATAAAATATAAATAATACTAAATATTTATATTATTTATAAAATAAATTTTTTTATATTATTATT